TGACCGCTTGCTCCTGTCTCTCCAGAAAAGCACCGGGGATTCGCCTTCATCGAGTTCGAGCTGGCAGAGGTGAGGAGGGGGCAGATGCCTGAGCTGCTTTGGGCCATTCTCATCCTCCCCTGGTGTTCACAGAGTCGGTGGGGTTGGGAGAGACCTTTACAGTCACCGAGTCCAACCATCCCCCAGCCCTGCCAGGTCCCCACTGCCCCGTGTCCCTCACCCCACATCTCCACAGCTTGGAAACCCCTCCAGGGGTGGGGACTCCACCACTGCCCTGGGCAGCCTGGCACAGCCCTGGGCAACCCTCTCGAGGACGACATCTCTCCTCATGTCCAACCTCAACCTCCCCTGGTGCAACTTGAGGCTGTTTTCTCTTGTCCTGTTGCTTGTTCCTTGAGAGAAGAAGCTGACCCCCACCTGGCTCCAAACTCCAGTCAGGGATTTGTCAGAGCCAGAAGGTCTCCCCTGAGCCTCCTTTGCTCCAGGCTCAGCACCCTCAGCTCCCTCAGCTGCTAATGAGATCCCACATATATGTTGGTTGAGCCTTGTTTTTAAAGGTAGAAAGAAAAGAAATGACAATAATAGTTTTCTTTTGCTTTTTTTGGCAGGATGCAGCAGCAGCTATTGACAACATGGTACAGATCCTGCTCCCACTCTCCTCTGGAGATGTGTTGCTTTGCTGTCTTCCCTATGTGGCATGGGCCAAAGCAAGCTCCATTTTCCTCTGACCTCAGCTGAAATTTGGGGGGTATGGTGAATTTTTACCTTTTGGTGGGCTTTGTTCTGCTAATTTTTCCTCTGCAGAACGAGTCTGAGCTCTTTGGCAGGACAATCCGTGTGAACTTGGCCAAACCAATGCGAATTAAAGAAGGATCCTCCAGGCCTGGTGAGTTGGTGCCTCTGAGGGGAGAACATCCCTGTGGATGTTCTGAGCTTTGTGCATCAGCCTTTCTACTTTCCCAGACCCTGAGGCAGAGTCTCTGGGTGCTGCTCAGGTCCTTGAGGTCCCCAGATGGGAGGCGGTGCCTGAGCAGCTTCCTAATAACCAAATAACTTAATAACCAAAAATATTCCCCAATTCCTTGGATGGAAGCACTCTTGGCTGTCCTCCTTGCTGTGTCTGGGGTGTGATCCTGCTGCCAGCACTGTGCTGCACCCTGACCTGTGTGCTCACACAAAGGACACACATCTGTCCTTTGATTTGGTTCTTGTGCTCTGACCCTTCCTTTTGCCATCACAGTCTGGTCGGATGATGACTGGCTGAAGAAGTTTTCAGGGAAGACTTTGGAGGAGAACACAGAGGAGGCAGGAGCAGAGGCCCCCAAAACAGAGGCACAGGAGGTAGGAAAACCGAGCAGAGCCGTCTGTATCCCTGCTGTCCTGAAGGCTGAGAGCATGGGGCCGGCTGTCTCTGGAGGTGGCAGAGAGGGATGTCCTCTCAACTTGCTCTTTTCTTTTCCTGCCCAGGGTGAGCCTCCTGCCAAGAAATCCCGGGCCAACCCTCAGGTTTACATGGACATCAAGATTGGAAACAAGCCGGCGGGGCGGCTGCAGATCCTGCTGCGCGCGGACGTGGTGCCCATGACCGTAGGTGAGGAGAGGGTCAGCCCCCCAGCCTGGTGGCTTCCAGCTGGCAGCCAGCTCTCACTTCTCTCCCCCTTACCCCCGAACAGAGAATTTCCGCTGCCTCTGCACCCACGAGAAAGGCTTTGGCTTCAAAGGGAGCAGCTTCCACCGCATCATCCCCCAGTTCATGTGCCAGGCCGGCGACTTCACCAACCACAACGGCACCGGAGGCAAATCCATCTATGGGAAGAAGTTTGATGATGAAAACTTCATTCTCAAACACACAGGGCCAGGTAGAGTCATCTTCTCAGGCAGGGCCTGGAGAGCAGAGTGGCTCAACGTCACCTAGGGGCCACACTTGGGCTGTTTGGAACTAGACCATGTTGACAGCATGACTTACACACTGGCCAGATGCTCTGCTGTGGTGTAATTTGCTGTGGTCAGACTGTCATAAGCAGAAGTGCATCATTAGCTCTCTATCCACACACTCTTCATTTCCAGTGCTGTGTAATGGAGAAAGTATCAAAGCTGCTTTCCTGTCTGATTTTGGAGGAGGAGTGTCACAGTGTGGCTGTGAAAGGCAGCAAAGAGCGAGTGGGTTTATCTCCAAACAAACAGCTTTTCTACTACTGCAGCTAAAAATAGAGCAGGAATCTCTGCTCCTTTCCACCTTACAGGGTTGTCTGCTAGCTGCCTGGTGAGGAAGGCCCTGGGGGTGTTGGTTGGCAGCTCGCTGAAGATGAGCCAAGAAGGCCACCAGCATCCTGGCTGGGATCAGCACTGGTGTGGCCAGCAGGAGTAGGGTAGAGATTGTCCCTCTGGACTCAGCACTGGGGAGGCCACACCTCAAATCCTGGGTTCAGTTTTGGGCCCCTCACTCCAAGAAGGACCTTGAGGGGCTGGAATGTGGCCAGAGAAGGGCAATGAAGCTACTGGGGAAGGGTCTAGAGCCCAAGTGTGGTGAAGAGCAGCTGAGGGATCTATGGGGAGTGAGCCTGGAGCAAAGGAGGCTCAGGGGAGAGCTGAGGAAGTTTAGGTTGGACATTAAGAAAAATGTCTTCCCCTTGAGGGTTGCCCAGGGCTGGGCCAGGCTGCCCAGGGCAGTGGTGGAGTCCCCACCCCTGGAGGGGTTTCCAGGCCGTGGAGATGTGGTGTGAGGGACACGGGGCAGTGGGGACCTGGCAGTGCTGGGGGAACATTTGGACTTGATGTTATCAAAGGTCTCTTCCAACCCAACTGATTGTATGATTCTAGAAGTGTTTCTCTCTCACCATGATTGATTTCCAGTAGTTTCTGTGGCGTTTAATATCGAGAGGCTCTCCTAAAACAGGGTTTCAGTCCAAGTAATGGCTCCTGTGCTGGAGCTCCTTGCTCCCTCCCCAGCCTTAATTAACACTGCCCTTCTTGACCCCAGGGCTGTTGTCGATGGCAAACTCAGGCCCAAACACCAACGGCTCCCAGTTCTTCATCACCTGTGACAAAACAGACTGGCTGGACGGGAAGCACGTGGTGTTCGGGGAGGTGACAGAGGGCATGGACGTGGTGAGGCAGATCGAGGTGGGTGCCAGCAGCAGGGGGCTCAGTGCAGAGCCCACCTCCTCCTGCCCTTGGCCTTGACACCTTTCATTCCCCTGGCTCTTCTCCCAAAGGCTCAGGGCAGCAAGGATGGGAAACCGAAGCAGAAGGTGATTATCTCGGACTGCGGGGAGTGCCCGTGAGCTCAGCTCTTGGACAGGGTGAGCCTGACCCAGAGGGGCTGGGGAAGGGGCTGGGATGGGACAGCCCACGACCCCCCAGCTTCTGTCCAAATCCTCCTGTAAAGCCTGGTGTGAATGTGCCCGTGGGCAGCACTGTGGGTCTGACCCCCCACCCCGGGCAGGAATTGCCCCTGTGCTGCCTGGTGCACGCTGCTGCTGTGGTTTTGTTGTATCTTTTTGTAAAAATAAAACCTATTTTTGAAAACCTCAAGGACCTGCCCCTGGCTGGTGAATTCTCACTGTGTGAGGGTTTTGCTTTTGAGCCAAGTTGGTTTGGTTTGTTAATTTTTTTTTGCCTTTGCCCTCATCTTCTCAAATCTGGGGCTTTACTCCTGGCCCTGGAGGAAGCTGCCCATGCTGGGGCAGGAAGAGCAGGTGGATCTCTCACAATTTCCCAGCAGCAGGATCTCGAGGAGGTGTTTTTGGCCTGTCCCTGCCTCTGCAGTGTCCTTTCCCATCAGTAGAGGGAGGCAGGTCCCCATCCTGCTGGGAAGCCAGCCTGGTCCAGCTCCATCTCTGGATGTGGAAGTGCGAGAACAAGGTCAGGACAAGAAGCACCAGGAAATTCAGAAACCCTTTGGGTGATAGAAGAATTGAAAGAAAAACCCCAAGTGATGAGGCTGTAGGAGGGGGTTTAATTTCCAAACTCTGGTTCACAGAGCAGAGAGCCACATAACTTTATAATTCACATCAGTAACTGGCTGTGCAGCCACATCGTGGGAGTGATGGATTTGGGGTTTCCTGTGAAATTCCAGCACTGGGTATTCCCAGGAATGTATTCCAGGGGAAGATGGGATGTGTGGTGCTGAGCTTGCAGAGGAGGGGTGGGGCTGCCAGGGCAGAGGGTCAGGGGAGTGGGGCTGGGCTGCAGGGGATGTTTTAAAGAGCTCAGGCAGTTGGGGTGTTTTGGGCTCAGCCGCTTGCAGATCAAGGCTGCTGCTTTTCCTTAAAAAACATGGGACTGGTTCATTCTCCTGCTGGTTTTCCATGCTGCTGAGGGGTTGTGCTGTGCCCTGCAGCTGGGACATGGGATGATACAGCCACTCAGATGTGATACCTGGCAAACAGAGAAACCAAGCCAGCATTTCCCCCCTCACTCCCTTCTTTCTGCTTAAATCTCTTATTTTTGGAGATGGTCCTTGGGAGCCCTTCAGCAATGCCTGAGAAGTGCTCAGTGAGAGCCCTCGCTCAGCAGGGGAGGGAATGAAGAAGGCACCTTGTTGCTCAGAGCTGCAGTCACATCCTCAGCTGGATTTCATGTGGAATTAGGCAGCAGATAAAATCCTTCCAAAGAAGCGAGACTTTTTCTGGGGAAGCTGGACAGCAGCAGATCTTACTTCAGTGGGTTTACTGGGATTTTTTTCCTTTGCATTTGGCTAAGCTGGGTTTGTTATTTATTTAGTGATGATTCCCCAGGTACCCGAGCTTAGAAACAGGCTGGGCCCTTTCCTTTTAAAATCATAGCAAATAAGTAACTTAATTGTGCAAATAGCACAAATTGGGCGGTCCCAGCCCCGTCGTGAGCCCACGGGGAGCACCCACTGGGGAGTGCAGCCACTCTCCCAGCCAGGGAGCCACAGCCTGACCTAAACCTCACAACCTCACATCACAGCAGTTTGGCAGGGCTCGTTTTCAAGCAAATAGGTACATTTTTAACCAACCCTGAGTGTTTTTTCATTGCGAAATCCTCTCCGCTGAACAGAGAGCTGCTGTGCTGTGACATTTATTAAGAAACAAAGAGCAAGAGAAATGAGGTGTTTACTTTCCAAACTAGGTGTTTATTTTATAACAGTGTCGTAGCTCAATATGGAGATTGATTCTTTTTTTTCCAACTGGCTGGGTTTTGTGAACTTTTAAGTAAACAGGAGCGGGTTAGTCAGCCAGCTACTTAATTGGTTGATGGTGTTTTCATTAAGGGAATTAAAAGCACTGGGTAGAGATGGGGTAGTTACACATCCATGGCTAGAAACAGCTCGATCCCAGAGCAACTCAGATGCTGCCTCCATTGGCCTAAATTTCAGCCCAGTGGGTGACTTCAGCCCAAACTGAGGTCGAAATGAGGAGAAAACACATCAACCAGGGATAGGACAGACATGGAACCAGCCCCAGATCCTCTCTTTCCTATATATATATATGTATATATGTGTCTCATGAAGTGTGGTAAGAGAATAAAAGCTTTATATTATTTACATCCACTTCTAGGAAGGGGTGGGAGGGATTTATTTTTCTTATTTATTCTTATTTATCATTATTCTTAACAGCTTTTGTTACGATGCAACCCCTGCCACTCCTCTTCCACACACAGAGCCCAAACCCAGGGTGACCTTGCTCTGGGAGGGGCAGGGACAGGGACAGGGGTGTGACCCAGCCATCAGTGGCAGCCACAGGACTTCACCACCATGTTACGGTGCTTCTTGAGGATGACGTTGTTGTTGCTGTCGTAGTAGAGGACAGAGGTGGCACTGAGCTTCGTGGGGGCACAGCACGCCTTGGGCACAGCCTCGGGCTTCATCAGGTGAACCTGGAGGGTGGAGGGATGGATGGGTGGAGGGCTGGAGCCTGTGAATGCTGGTGAACGTGGCTCCCGGCAGAAGAAAAAGCATCAGACCAGCTCTTTACTGCAAAAAGCCTGGCTGAATGGGGAGATTATTTCCAGCTTTTTTGCAAAAATATTTATTTTATACTCCAGGCAGTGCTGGCTGCAGTTTATATTGGATCAGGGCTCGTGGCACTCTGCTGGCCAGGCACCCCCTTCATTCATCTGGGATTTCAGGGCCCTGGGCAAAAGGCTAAAAAAAAAAACACCTCAATCAGGGTAGTGCAGGTCCCACTCCTGTGTGGGTGAGGGGTGCTGGAGGCTGATGCAGGAGAGATTCTCCTTCAGGGCTCGGGGCCACCCCAAATTTCCCCTTTTGACTAAAATCCTAAGCACACAACACCTCTCTGAACACAACTCTTCCTCAGCTCAGTCATCCCCAGCTCAGGCCAGGCTGTATCCCAGCAGTTCTCAGCGTGGCAGCAGCTGGGAGGCTCCCAGATGCACACAGCCCTACCCGACATGTGTGATTAATTTATTGCAGGGGCAGCCCAGCTCTCCCAGTTCGGAAGTCTGGTGTTTTTGCTGTCAAACCCTGCTATTTCCAGCACAGACCGGGGCTGGCACTGCTCCCCAGCTG